AACGATACGAAAAGTGGAAGATGGAAAGAAAGGGATGCGAAGTGTGCGCGTGCGTTTTCCCGCGGAGACGAACAGTCTGCCTGCGCCGACCCTTTTTTATCCGAGAGACTCCTGTGCGAAGGAGTCAACTGTCCGAATGGTTACGAAAAGTCGTTTCAGATAATCCTTTTCAAGGATGTGTCGTTTTAACAACAACAAGATTTTTTCCCCCTCGAGAAAGAGGTAATAAAATATGTCTAGGTTTTTTACGACGTTCCCTAAAAAGAGAAAACTGTTTCGTGAGGAAACAATGTTATACTTCGTTAAGACGAACAAACGAAAAAAGGAAAGTCTCGCGTACGTGTGTCGACTGACTGAAAAAAGTAAATTAGTAACCGACATGTCGGCTTGTGTTTCAACAAATATGCGTTCCATTTGGTAGTTGCAGTATCTGTGCAGTTTTGCGAAGAGTGGCAAAGCGCAAGCGAGGAACAAGAGAGAGAGAGAGAGAGAGATGGAGCGAGCGAAAGAGACAGAGAGATAGAGATGGAACGAGGGAGATAGATAGATGACGGCGATGTACAAAGACGCTTCAGGGGTGACGAGAGCGAGTGCGAAGGGGGTGGACGGGTGGCGAGGGGATCTGCCTGCCTGATGGAGCTTGAAACTGAATTAACCATCCCCGCCCGGGGCCCGTGATCTCGTCGCAACCTCATCTCGGCGACCATTATATTTGTCTTTGTATGCTAAACATTTTGCGGAATTATACGAGACAGGTTTCGAAGAGTCGTCCCTCCCGCGCTCCCTCTTTCTCACTCTCTCTCTCTCTCTCTCCGCGTTACTCTTTCTCTCTCGCCTCCTCCTTTTTCCGCCCCTCTGATCCTCCCAGCGTCCTGTCATCTCCGGTGCGCAGCGTGATCGAGAAACGATAACGATTACGGGGCATTCCTCCCTCGTGCGCAAGATTACTTTCCAGGCGAAAAAAAAGCGATCGGCGAAATACCGGCGATTTTACATGCGCGCGCTTTTTTCGTACGCGCGCGCGTAGGAAGGATTCGCGGGAATTCGCGCGGCAAGTTCGCGTCAAGAAAAAATGCTCGGTTGAAAATGAATGCGTTTGAGAGAATATATTATCGCTCGTCTCTCGTCGATACGAGCGAGGAGAGTATATTTTGCATTTTCGATATATCTCGCACATATCGGGAATCGAAGTTTTACGCCGAAAAGGAAATTTTCGCTATTTGTAATTATAATTGCGTACACGAAAGAATTGTAATAAAGAGAAGCGCTTTTCTAATAAGTGTTACTATCAGTGTAAGTGATAATAAACATCAGTGTAAGTGATAATCACTTCTTACATGCATATTGTTATTATTATTTTTAGGACTACTTTTCTATTTTTTAAAATAGAAGAAAATATATGCAGTTGAGACTGAAAATGGCTGTAACTGCAATGGAATTTCTATTAGTGTTAAATGTGTACGAATATAGAATTCTATCTCCGATTCATTGTTCTGTAAACTTTCACGAAGAGTCAAGTTTCATTTAGTTTCAGTTTCAGTTTCAGTTCTATTTACAATTCTTTTCAGAATTTTAAAAATTACACAATGTGCAGTCTAGGCACAGAGAAAAAAAGATTTTTTTCAATTTAATGTGTGTTTGACTTGGATTTGTTTCATATAAACGACATAATTTATTATTAAATATCATTTTGTTTGAATGAAAATGTTATTATTTCACTAGAATAAACCATGTTGTTTAGTAGAAATACAGTATTATTTAGAGGAAATAATATTTCGTTTTCGATAAAAAAATTCATGTCATTATATATTAAATATTGTTCAACCGAAACATAAAATGTTCTTTAATATTTTTCAAACAGTGTTCAAATAGTGTTACTTCTTTCTTTCAAATAATTTATTGCTTGCTTGTGTGGCAATCATTGTAATATTTGAATGAAAATATAATAAAAATGTGTTTCGTTGTCTGAGAAAAATCGAACAATCCTATTTATTGAATCAAGCATTTGTTTGCTCTATTCCAAAAGACAAAGTTGTTTCAGTTAAAGAAATTTTATTAAATCCATAGAAATCTTTTTCTTTGTGTATGTACAAGTTTAAAATAACATCTAAATAAACAACAAATATGGTTATTAGTGATTACAATTATAGGTCTAATGGAACTTTCGTCATGCAACGAATACGCTCGATTCGTCGAAGACTATAAATGGGAGAAGCGGCGGTAAATTTGGAAAGCACGATAAATATAACGCATTTTACGCGATATCACGCGACCAACAATGCTTCCTTCTCAACTCGCGAATGTCGGCGCAACTTCCCCGTCGGTGTCAGGCTGTCTACGCTGCCATAAATCGATAGGTGGATAAGATAATCTTTACCACATATTGTTACCGATAATGATGTATCATCTACGATATCTCACCGTAGGCTAGTTGTCAACTTTTCCTGTCGATTCCAACGAAATCGTATTTTTAATATCGTCATGGAACGAATCCCCTTTTCAGATTAAGTTCCTAAGTAAAGTCCGTGTCAATTCATCGCATTTAACCTTAAAACCGATTATCTGACTCGGACTTTTATCCCTCTCTCTCTCTCTCTCTCTCTCTCGTCGTTATCTATTATCTCAAACCTAAGAATCGCGTATATACATTTGAGAGAACGAGTCTGATGAAATAGAAATTCAAGAGGAATTTTTTTTATGTAAAATAAAATTATATATAGAAAAATAAAGAAATAGCTGCTGTCGCCAACATCGTCATCTCAAAAATTCCTTTATCTTGAATATCCGAATTAAAATTTTAGTCCTGGTTTAAGTATAATTTAATTCGACAATAAATGCTCAAAGGTCTTCTATTGTACTCCTTTGGTGCTAAAAGTAAGGAAATTATTGCTATTTTTTCCACTTGAAGACTTAACATAGAACTAAAATTTAAATTCTGGAGGACTAAATTGCCTTTGGAGCATTAAAAGAGCACTTTTATGCTCCTTTGGTACTACAAGTGGGAACTTATTTCCGTTTTCTCCGCTCGAAGACTTAAGATAGAATTTAAAATTTCGACTCGGGTATCGTTCCAATGATTTCTTTTTTTTTTTGATCGATACGATGCGCGCGTACGACGGGTGTGACGACGCTGTGTGGCGAGCGTTCGTGAAGATGCACGAAGCCGAAACATCTACGGGACAAGCAGCAACGGTTTGTTCTCATTAGCGCGGCTCGAACGTCTTAGCGCGGGAGATTCGTCTCCCGCGACGTTGATGTAAATTCGTGGCGAACGAATCGGTAGCATCGGCATCTTAAATATCACGCTGAGCCGCATCGTTAGCGTATAATGAGATTACCGGTCTATTCGTCGAAAAGAGTATTGGGAGCGGAGGTAGACGAAGATGGATCGCGGCCGTGTTGGGAAACAAAACGAGGACTCGTCCCAATTAGTAGCGCGGATGACGAAATAACGCAGCGCCACGCGCATCACGTACCGACAGTTAATTTGTTATCGCTTATGAGAAAGAGCCAGCGGATCTCTCCGCCCCCCCTGCCTGGCAGATTCATCTCGTCTCTACGTATTTGTCATTTTCAAATGTCGAGGAAAGAAATCAGATGCCGTCGGATTGCTTTGCATTAAGCTCGATCTACAATGTGCTCTTTGCGTCTTGTTTCTTGCTGTCTCTTTTCCGCAAGTATAAACAGAATAATTCATAAAGAAGAAAGATAGAGAGCGAGAAACAAGACGCAAAGAGCACACTGTAGACCAACCCTTAACGTCGGGCGATCTGCATGGCAAATCGAGCGACTCGTCGGTGGGGCGTCACGCGAAATACTAATGATTCGTGATGCGCGACCCCTGTCTCCGGCAGGGGTGGTTTCGTCGGCCCTCTGTGGTTGGCTCGCGGTGAGTTGATCGCCCGACGCACATCACCACCGTATCGACGAAATCGCGTCATCGTGGCAACGGAGTTCCCGTTTCCCGAATCCTCACGAACACGGGTTATCCCTCGAAATTAGTCTCCCCGCCAAAAAGGAAAAAAAACTCCGGCCACGCGTCCGGCCACCTCGACCGGCCTCGCGCTGCGGGACTCTCTCGGGGTTTTGTTCGCACGAATTTTCCATAATGTTCCGCTACCTGTCTTTCTAATTCTTCGCCCCCCCCCTGCGCCGGAGGTCTCGTCAACAACCACTCGTCGGCGGGAAACGCAAAGCCTGACGAATTGGCTCACTTTCCCCGAGTCTCGGGCGACATCGCCCACCACTCACCGGCTGTAGCACCCGTGCAGCATGCGAATAGCTGCGGACGGATCTCTCAGCCGACGCACCCACGCAGAGTGACGGCACACGCGCTGCCCACGGCGCGCGCACACACGCGACCGCGCGCGCACGAAGAGACAACGAGGACGACGACACGTACGCTCGCGTACACCCACGCGAGGCATCCGCGCGCGCGAGAGAGCGCGGTACGGTAACATCGGTTCAATTTACATCGCAGCGGACACCCCCGGTCGTCTTGCGGGCGCGTGCGGCGACGGCGGGGGACCGCGGTTGTCCACGGCTGGATAGCGTCGCGACGCCCTGGAGGGATCACCCCGACCCGGAAGCTCCGCCCCGGCGGAGTTGGTGGAAGTCGGGCCGCCAACCGGCGGATCCAACGTACGAGACACGGTAGGAGGAGCCACCGTGTCGTCTCGTCGAGGCCAGGTAAACGGCGACCCTGGGATCGCGCGGCGGCTCACTGGTAGAGCTTAGTATCGCGTCGACTCTCGCTAGCTAATATCCTCTTGCCTTTTTTTTCCCCGCTTCAATCTCTCTCTCGCTATCGGTCCGCCCGTCCGGCTCGCCGCGCTACGGTCGCATATCTGCGAGATCGCGCGCGCGCGCGCGCGTCCGGACCGAGCTCGTCGTCACAGCCTTGATGAACGAGGAGGCGAGCTCTCGCCCGAAGTGATTTTTATTATCATTGCATCGTGAGACTCCGCTCCCGTTTCTGCCCCCTCGTCGCACACGGCAAGATGGAGACGAAAACGGAGCCGTTGACGCCGCCGCAGACTCCTCCGTCGGTCGAGAGGTCGATTAATCAAGCGAATCAGCATCACCAATCGGCCCAGCAGCAGCAGCAGCAATTGCCGTTCTCGTCCTCGAGGTGGAGTCGAGCTCATCACATCGTCGGCACCAGGTATCTACAGCAGCAGCAACACGCGCAACCGGCTCAGCACAACACAGGCGGTTATCACACGTCTTTCTTGGACAATTGGTTCTTGAGGGGCGCGGCCCTGCTGGCCGTCAGGGGTTGTTGCCCTCAGACGCACCCTCACGCTTATCACCACCACCATCATCATCATCACGCTCACCACCAGGGTTTGCTGCCGGTGCCGCCACCGACGTCGTTCCTCGCGCGAAGAATACCGGGCCAGAGGCCTAAGAAACAGTTCATTTGCAAGTTCTGCAATCGCCAGTTCACCAAGAGCTACAACCTGCTGATCCACGAGAGGACGCACACCGACGAGCGTCCGTACTCGTGCGACATTTGCGGCAAAGCCTTCCGCAGGCAGGACCACTTGAGGGATCACCGGTGAGTAATCGCGCTCCGGGTGACGGCCTCCTCGATACGATTTTGGCGCGATTGCATCGTGCTGGGCACACGCGTTTGCGATATCACATTGATCTCCGAAGATCTCAAACCGCCACGTTGCTTTCTCATTGAAGGCGTGAGCAACACAATGTTGCTGGCGGCGCACGATGGTTCCAAAAGAGTTCGAGCGCCGAGAGGAAGCGGGGAGAAACGGAATCGTATCGAAAATAGTCCGCACAGGCGATACTAGCGAGTTTAACAACGTTGACGTATGCTCGTTGTTGTTTCTCGATGATCGATGCATCGTATCGTTCGTTTCCTCGAGAATATTTCTATTGGCCCGCGCATCACTCAACGATCGGCCAATCCCTTGCTACTGTTAACCGACTCGGAATGGAGGAGACAAAAGTTTGCGCACTGAGAGAAAAACTTTGGTTAATTTAACAAGATACCGCAACGAAGTATATATAGTTTGTAGATATGGCACAACAAATGACACTGTAGTGAAAGCAAATAATTTGTACTATTCATTTGCCATTCTAACAAACACTTCTGTGTATTGACTTGGTAATTGGTTTGTTAAAATAACGAATGACGATAAATGATTAGGCAGTAACTCTTCGATCTATTTCCCTAACAGATCTTCAAATAACAGAAAAGCTTTCGTTCTGCTAACTAAAAGATTTGTCTCGGTGCGCTTTGCGCTCCAAACACCGACCAGTTTGATTCCACATGCAGCTCCATTGATAACAAAATGATACCGTGCCCGATTGTAGTAAAATAATGTTACGACGAACATCGCGTCAAATTAAAAAAAATTGCAAAATTAGAATAGCGAGATAGCAAAATTAGAAATCAGTCAGTAAGTGAGAAATGTACACGTATAGTCAGTGCAGGGAAGGTTGCAACGCTCTTCTCTCGATAACTTTCGCAACACGCTCGTATTCAATAGAAGAATTTGCACTTTTTAGAGAGTAATTTTCAATAATTTTCGAAAAAAATTCTCTCTTATTGAGAAAGTCCCGGACGCGTTCCGAAGTTCATCGAGGTAAAAAGACTGTTGTTTTTCTCCCGCTGACAACCGCGTCGAACAAGCATTACGAATCGCGCAAGTCCGCGAAGAGCGTTGAATTCGACCGCGGAGAGGCGAAGGTGCGCGTAGAGAGGATTATGAACTCGGGTTGATCGCTGATTGACTTGCCACACGGGGGTTGACGGAAACGTAACTTTAACATTTAGGTACATACACAGCAAGGAGAAGCCGTTCAAGTGCAACGACTGCGGCAAGGGATTCTGCCAGAGCAGAACCTTGGCGGTACACAGGATCCTGCACATGGAGGAGTCGCCGCACAAATGCCCGGTCTGCGGACGGAGTTTCAATCAGAGGAGCAACCTGAAGACGCATCTCCTCACGCACACGCCGCCCGACGTGCCGCAGGACCTCCGGGTCGACACCAGCCCGGTGTCCTCCAACTCGAGGATCACCTCGCCCTCCACCGAGGTCAGACAATTAACGGAACGTATGAGCAATCTCTTGCCGGTCGAGAGGACCGGCACGATCGCGCCTATCAAGCTCGGCTTCACCATAGAAGACATTATGAAACGTTAACTTGACTTGAACACTGCGCGCCGGACGATGTTTGTTCCTCTTTTCCCGTATGTAGGCGCGTTGCGACTCATTACGGCGTTAAGACTCGTCGAGAGACTGCTACGGTCGCGATTAGGTTTAGATTTCGCCGCATCGAGGCTAATTTATACACACACACACACACACAAATATATATATATGTATATTCTTTGTGGTGATCGTGACTCGAGAACGACGTCGCACGCGCGCACTTTGGATCTCAAAAATTATAAGATATGATCACGGAATTGTTTCTACGATCTCCGTGGGAGATGCAGGTTTCCGACTGGCAAGCTCTAAACGCGACATCGGGACATGACGGATCTCTTTCTCCAAGTTCTTGGAATCCCCTCTTGGAATCGGTTTACCGTCGGCTTTACGGGGCGGCACAAATGTCGGCCTTCTCTGATTTCGCGAGACCTTCGTAGCTTTGTTCTAGTCATGAGTGCTTTTCCGCTCGCTCGCTCGCTCGCCCGCGAACGAGAAAACTTGTTGTTTTCCGTGTCGGATATCCGTAATGAATAACGGACGATAGGGGGGAAGAGGGAATAATTACGCGGTCGGAGATCTCTTTGAACAGGTTCGTCCCGTTGGTTTACCGTGATTGTCGTTCCCACGCGAACGAGCAGCGTTGTCGTTTGATCGAGAGAGAGAGAGAGAAAGAGAGAAAGAGAGAAGATATCTTTGATTTATCGGGATTTCATTCCAGGATCGATTAGACGCAACGACGCGTGTGATTACGGCGCGGCACCGCAACGAAGACGGGCGAAATAATTGCTTCGCGCTTTAGACAAAATGCAAATCACAACGAAACAACTAATATTGTCAACGATGGCAACGCAGAACCGAGACTCTAATTTGAGTTCCCGCGCGATAAGTACTTCGCGAATGGGCAGACCCCGTGGACTGTTATCAAGTACAATTAAAAGGTATTAACTCGGAGTGATTTGTTCCGCTGTCCCGAGTCCCCCCGTTCCACAGGTGATCCGATGCGTATGTTCGATATTGCTCGACGGCGCGAGGCGACGATGAATTTTCCGACGTCTTTCTCGGAGCACGATTTCACGTTCAGCGCATATATTTAATGTTTCGCGATATTTAACGTAATTAGAATAATTTTATTTTTAATAGAAAAACGCGCGGAGGAGCGAAAGCGCGAATTCAAACACCGGAATTGAGTGTATTCGTTTGTATCACAACCATTGTCAATGACTACCGATTAAACTTCACTGTACAACATGCGATTTTATAGGCATTAAAATACTTGATGTAAAACACACACGAATTATTGTTTCTTTATTTATTTATATCAAGTGCTTCATTCATTCCGCTCTGAATTCAAACATTCTTTAGATTATACAATTACACACACACGATTTTTGTTAAACACTTTTAAATTAAGTTACGTAAAGGATGCTCCATCGAGAGAACTTTTGTCACACGTCGACATTAATTTTGCCGTTCTGTAGGGCAGAAGGGCACTTTCGTGTATCATACACCTCCTATTGTAAATATACGCCCGCGAATATTTATTGTTTTAACGCGAATGACTCTTCTTGTGAATATTTAGTGATCTTTTCAGAATATTATCTGATTCCTGCATTAAACCATGTGCTACGTCTGTACATATATTCTTAAGTGTGTAAATGTGTGTGTACGCGTGTGCATATGCGCGCCTACGCGCACATATATGTATATTTAGATGCTGTAATATATTCTTAGAGATAATGAGCATACATATAGATACTCTTGGATGCTGTAACTCACGCGATTCACGAAAGCAGTATTCCCCGCGCGCACGAATCGAGAACTTAGCGCGCGTTTGCGCGACTCGTTTCTTCTCTGTCTTGCGACGGGTCTGTCATGACGGCGCTTCCTGCGACGAGATACGAGTTAGCACCGTACAGATTTGTCATGTCGCATTGCGATCGTTGTCAGCTGAGGAGACTCCCAATCGTTCTTTAATGTAATTTATTTTATTACCCGTATAACCGCAGAAATCCGACAGATGTTTACACACGCGACGTTAGCGAAGAGTTTCGATCGAGAACAATCAATTGAATAATTCGGAGAATTAATCAGCGGACGTGAACCGATTTATTTGTACCACGTGAAAGTAACCTGAAACTTTCATGGATATTTCGCGTTTTCGGGGCGGCATTGAAAATTAAAATTATCGTTTGGCCAGTGCAATTATTAATTGGATGGTGCAATAAATCCCGAGAGGGTCACGATATGGTTTTGATTCCGCGCCTCCGGACACGCGTGGCAGAGAGAGAGAGAGAGAGAGGGGGGGAGGGGAGCGAGAATAAGAAAGATATCGCGCTCGTGTTCGCCCCGAGGGGATTTTTCTTACGGGTTTCGAAAGGTGTACGGTTATCCAGTTCCTAAAAGTGCGTTCACAGTTACGGATTTCGGTCGTCAGGCGTCGGGATAATTGATTGTTCGTCCGGCGAGACAACGATCTACGCTGTGAGAGTTGCGCGACATTACCGGTGCCGGTGTCGCCGCGCATATCGACGGTGTTAATCGGTGCTTTCCCGGCCCGACTCGTTAGATACATCCCAGCGGCGTTTTTCCCGTAAAATTAGAAATTTAGATCAGATAAGAGCGCGGGAGGAAAGGCGGAGGGACAATCTCGTTGGCAGTTAGCCGCGGCACCTTCTCACCCATCTCGCTGCCACCGGCGGCGAGCTGCGCGCGGTCCCGAAGATCTTCCTCTTTTAATCTAGAAGCGAGATACCGCTACCCGTGTAGACCACCCACGCCTCGCATTAAGCCTGGTATCGGAGTACCCGCAGTCCCTTTCGCGTGAAACAGATTGCGCCCGGTGAATTCGGTGTGTCGATTCTCCATTAGGAGAATAACACTCGGCGATATCGTCGAGTCCTCCATTCCTTCCTTCCTTCCTTCGTTCTTCCCCCCTTCGTTCGCATTTCTCATTCACTCAGACGTCCGGAAACACCCTCGACAACGCTGGATCTCGATGCGACGGGACAAATTTTCACTTCGGTTGAAAGTCAAAATGAAATTCAATAAATTTACCTACGAGGAAAGACGTTCGTTCGGTCACTGATACGTCGCGTAGAAGCACACACAACGGTGTTCCCTGTCTGATTTTCACGTGACACGCGCGCGCGTCCCCCAGTTCCTTCCTTCTCTATATTGGTTACCACTAATTTATAAGATTAATTTATAAGATAATTAATTTATAAGATCATTGTAAATATACGTATACATAATATGCGTGTAGATATAATATACTCGTGAGTGTGAACTGTCCCCTACACTATCATGTGCTTTCGTTCTCTAGCCGCCGTCCCCGGCCCGACCGGATCCTCCCGATTCCCTTATCGGGAATGCGCTTGAACGCCTCGACGCCGGTATCGGAGTATTGTCGGACACGGGAGTGTGGTTATCTGTTAATATACGGTCTTACCAAATAAAAAGAAAGGAACGAGAGAATACCTCACCCTAGTCGAGCGTAGAACGTACTTAATTGAATGTTGTTGTTATGAATTGAAAAATAAAAACTCATGCACCAGAAAATGTCTTGCTAGCGCAACGATGATCTCGTGTTTTCTAAAATTTTACCACCCGCTTTTACATTCCGACTCTGTGATTTTTTCATCACGGGACATGCCAGCACTGCTACAGTATTTTAACAACAAATCTATAAATATGCATATATTACGAAAATACATATACAGGATGTCTCAAACTAATCTGGATTCCCGCGGTGTGCAGGTAGAATGGATGAAACTGAGAGCAGAAAAATCATGTACCATTTTGAAAAATTCGCAATAGTTAATGAAGAATTAATAATTTTATCTCAGCTATGAACGCACAGGAAACAATAGGTCGAACTTTGTATAAAAAGAAATTTCTTACTTTTGAAGATCCAGAAATGATGAGCATCAACTGATTTCTACAGGTGGAATAACGCAGTAAACAGCGAGCGGCATATAACAAAGAATTGTGTGCCGAAAAGAATCGCGCCTCTCGCTATCAGTTGATACTCGTTGCTAGGAGATTTTAAAAATAAGCCATTTTTTATATAGAATGTGGTTTATCGCTTCTAGTGTGTTCATCAGCTTAGATAAAATAATTAATTTCTCATTAACTATTGCGAATTTTTCAAAACGGCACATGACTTTTTTGCTCTGTTTTACCTGTTTTACTTGCAGCACACCGCGGGAACCGAGTTAGATTAGTTTGGGATACCCTGTATATATGAGAAGGAAATATTAATATGTTATAAAGATTTTCTAGAGAAGAGAGAGAGAGAGAGAATGCGTGTGTGTGTGGAAAATATCTTGATACACAATATTAATGTAATATTCCTTAGAATTATCACATATGGTGTGTAATATTCCTTAGAATTATCACATATGGTGTAATTAATTCGTATTAAATTGTATTATGTGTTTAATGTGATATTTTTTTTTTCTGATATCAAGAAAGAGAAAATGAGTGAAGAGAATTGTGATATATTTTTTATGTATATAAATATAATGTCTAATTATTTTTGCTTCTCAAAAGAATAGTACGTACTGAACACTAAAGTTTTACAGGAGAAGAAGAAGAGGAAAAAGGAGAAGGAAAAGAATGGTTGAATCAGCCGTGTGAAACAACGTGAAAAGCTACAATTTTTTTTTTATCGAATACAAATATATGTATACGAGCTATATGGATCAAATATTTGAACTCCTTAGAGATATCACATGTCACCTCATCGGTTAAACCGAGGCGTCAAGATCGAAGTATAAAGAGCAATCTGGAAAGATATGAAACACTTCTAGATACAGGGATATATCAAATTTAATGTGTAACATATACTTAAATAGACCACTACGATTGTTTATTTATACGCGCTCGACCAACGACTGAGAATATTTCACTCGGCACGCGCATTTTTACTTCTCCCTTTCCCTTTTTTTTGCGTTGATGGTCAGTCTGAAAATGAGCAGCGAATGGAATGT